GCATTTGATTTACTTGATGTATAAAGAAATTCATATGTGTCCACTTCCAAAAATTTCAATTGATTTCACATGAGTCGGTCAATTTATATGTTTATAGTGACATTGTGTTTAAATCTATTCATTTCCATATCTCACATCATAATACGTCTTGTGTTTGAAATAAGTTCAATGATATTTGCAGTTGAGCATGTTATTTACCTTATTTTTGATGAAACGTGTAGTTATGCCTTCATGTCCTTTTGTTTATTATGATATTATATTGCAACCTTTTATGTCAAATGTGTAATATATATTATCTACTTTTGGGTATAATTGGTTGTGTATTTATGTTTAAGCTTCATTTTTAATTTAGCGTAATTCTATGCGAGTGTGTTATAGTTGATGCATTTAGTCTTTACAATGCCTCTGAGTGTGTTACATGTTATTGTGTAATCTTCATGATACTTCTCACATTTTCTTATTTGTCTCTTTTTAATGTTGTTAAAGGGGAGGAAATAAACGAAGACAAAGTCATCTAGTTGTGGTGCATATATTCAGGGGGAACTTTCTAGACTCATCAACTCAAATACTTTGTTAAGTTTTGCCATCATAAAAAAACGAGAGTATGTGTGTGCACTCCTCTTCTAGTAGTATGTTTTGATTAATATCAAAACTAGGGCACTTAGTATTTATGTGTTGGACGATATCCTCTCAATCTGGCATCTTCATAATTAATCATTTATTAAGTCAAAAACTAAGTTTTGGGTCAAAAATGAGTTTTATGCATCAACTCATAAAATGCTACAGGTAGGTGCATAGAATTTTTTTATTCAACATGCATCAACTCTTAGGTAGGTGCATAAAAGTGTTTATTCAGTATGCATTAACTCCTACAACTACAGGTTGACTAATGGATAGATGCATAGAAATAATCTTTTGAAAGAAAGTTCACTAGTCAGTATGCATCAACCCATAGAAGCTACAAGTCGATGCATAGAAGAAAATTTTCTTCTATGAGTCGACGGATAAGCCTTACTGGTCGACGCATATGACTTCTTTTTAGCCTATTTGCTTAGTGCCTCTTATGACTCAACACATAGAATTCTATGAGTCGACTCATAGCTCAATTTTGCTGAAAAAAATGTTGGTTTTCTTGCACGAATTATCTGTTACATCACCTATTTTACACACACATATAAATACATTCATGCATCTTATTTCAAACAATTGAAACCTGAAAATATACAAAGAATTCTCATCATCTTTAATCTTTCTTTGACACACTCATCAACTACACAATCAATTTTGTTGTTTGTTGTCAAGACAAGTTTGATAACGTCCAATTTAGGGTTGTGTAATCAAATTGGGTTAAGGTTTTTTTTTGGGGTTTCAAGGAGAAAACTTATAGGGTTTTTACTCCAAGATAAATGGTTGATTTGGATGTTTTTGTACAAGTCTTGTCAACTTGGATTCAGATAAGCGAATGCTTTGGAGAATGGGGGGTTCTTGGAAAGGAGTAGAGGTAACCAAAGGATCAATTGAAGACTTAGGGCAAGATTTTGCAATTTGGATTCAGCTGAATGAAGGCTTTGAAGAACGAAAGGTTCGGTCAAAGGTGTAGCAGTAATCGGAGGATCAAATTGGAGATCTTGTGTGACTTGATCTAGCCAAGATCAAGGGGAGAGAAGGAGTTAGGATCAACATCAAACATAAGGTTTAAGAGTTTGAATTTATAGTACTTCTCTTATAAACTGATATTCCAAAGGTTAATTACAATATCTCAATTCGATTTCGATAGTGAGGACAATTCAGAAATGCCTAAATAAATCTCTCTCTCTCTCTCTCTCTCAATTTATTTTTATAGTTTGATAACACTTAGTGTGTAATTTGAATTGTTGAAAACTTTGGTTGTATTGGAATGTTAAAATTGTTTTCTTTTTGTGAAACAATTGCAATTGATTTGTCATAACTTCAACATAAAAAGATTTAAGCTTGGTGTATTGCACACCAAGTGTTTGACAAAACTACTGCACATCAAGTGTTTGACAAACTTCTTTAGTCAAGTTTAATTTTACTTCTCATTGGAAATCACTTATCTTAAGTGTGGTTTATATTCAAACAAATTACATTGAACTTGTTGATTAGTTTTTCTTATCTTTAAGATACTTTATACTACAGTTTGAACGCATATCCAATCCTACCAATAACGGTTCGGATAGACGAGAGTCGATCCAGATTTGTTTTCGTTGCCATAGAAAAATACTTTTCAAGACAAAATTTTAATTTCTCAATTTTTATTTGGCGATCTATTCAACCATCTATTTTAGATCGTAATTTTCATCTAACAGTGTATCATTTGAACAAATTGCTTTGGAGATTTTTCGAGTTAATCTCACAGAATTTTAAACTCATAATTGTTTACCAAAAACACCGACAAATAGAAGAAAGCTAAGCTTTTGGAGAATAGTTTCAAGTCAAATATGATATTTCATCGTTTAAATTATATATATATATATATATATATATATATATATATATATATAATAATTTTTTTTTACCAAATTAGTTCTTTAAATATATAAAAAAAGTATGTAATTAACCTTTTAAATTAATTATATTAAAGAGAAATGTTAACATGCTTGTTATTTATAGTATGTAAATTGCACAATATATTTAATCATTCTAAATATACTCATTAGATATGTCTTAAATCCTTGATTTGTTATCAAAGTTTAAAATAGTTTATATATTTTAATAAATAGAGAGTTTTAAGTATGTAGACTATTTATAAGGGTTGATATTTGTATACGATAGGGTCATACCTTAGTTTTTATTCTTAAGATTCTATCTCTTTTTAATCGTCTGTATAGTCTATCATGCATTTCATTTTGCATAATACCCAATTTATCTGTCAGAATAAACTTGTTAGATTTACGGTCGAATCGGTCAAACTAAAAGTCAATTGTGCGTAAAATCAGTGGACATAAAGTTTTAAAATCGAGCTTGCAAACGTCAGTTATTTTAATCTACGTTTCGCGTAGTTTAACTTGCCGTGTTTTTTTTAAGTTTTTGACTGGTCGCATTTTGATCAGTTTAACCCTTTTAATCGAGAAAATTTTATTTTAAAATTTGATCAAACACTGTATTTTTCTGAATCGTTTATTTCGCGCCGATCATTTTGATGTATCCATTTTATTTTTCTGAGCACCTCAATACAATATTGTTTATCTATTTTTTACGTGTTTCTTTTATTTTTAATTAATATATTTTTATTTAATCAAAAAATTTAGTTTAGACTTATTTTATAATTAATTTTATTTTTATTATCACTTTTTTCTCTTTTATAATATTTTATATTTGTTTATTCAATTTTTTTTAGTAAGACTTACCTATTAAGTGTTATAAAGGTATTTGGTTTTTTTTTTTACAAATTGAAACGTAGCATGCATGCATCACCCGTTAGTTACGAAAACATAAATTTTTAAAGAGTTTTTTTATCGAGTAATGCAAATGTTTAAAGTGTTAGTACATTCTTTTAGTATTACCAACTCCTGTACTTTTGATCTCTTTATGTTTAACTTTACGCCTTACTTTTTGTTTTGCATATTTATTTAGAATTTTTGTTCTATCTTTTCTCCCTTCTCTTGAAAAAATAAAAGTTTGACAATAATATCTTTATTTTGCAAGTCAAACTAGTCTAATAGCTTTCGTCTCGGACTCACCGCGACTGGTAGGATGAATTAATCACATTATTTTCATCTTTTATTGTAAAAAATAAACAAATCATTTTTATTAACAGATATATTTAAATAAGTATTGTAGTAAATATTTTTAAAAACTAATTTATTTAATGAATTTATTTTAAAATATAATTTTTTAAAAATGTTTGTATTTAAAGATCAAAGATATAATTGGTTGCACTTAAGTAACTATTTTAATCAAGAAAAATACCAACTGAGTTTTCGAAAATACTCATTAAGAGTATAAAAAGATATATTTTGTTTAAAAGTATTTATAATCGATGCATTTTAAATTAAAACAATTATTTTTTTTAAAGAATAAAAAAATATGTTTTTTTTTTAAAGACTGATATTTAATACAATATTTTTTTAATTTAAAATCCTTTAATTAATATCAATTTTTTTCCTTTTTGCATTATAGTGATGGGAGTGAATAATTTGGATTTCAACTATCCTTAAGAAAACATATATTCAATTAAATTGAGACAAGTATAATTTAATAATAAAAAATATTAAAGGTCAAATCACTTCTTTAATATCATTTCATTAATATAAAAATAATATGTTATTCATATTTATTTATAGTTGTTTAACAATAATAATTAGTTTTATATATTTTTATTTTTATTATTTTTAATTAAAGAATATATTTTTATAAACAATATAATTAGTTTTATATATGATCTCCAGGGCGAAGAAAAAAAACTATAATAATACAAGAAATAGTGATACTATTTTTTTCCACCACATATTTGATTGACAAGACCGACTAATTTGATTCAAATGTCAGTTCTGATGATATAAAATAATTAGTTTTTTCAATCACAGTTGTAAGAGATTAAATTATAATTCTTCTTATTAAATTCAACATTAATCAACACTGAACTAAATAACGACAAATATTAGTGATAATAAATTACGCTTGTCTATTTATAATTAACTTCATATCAAAATGGATAACTAATCCCTCTTTTTGTGAAAATAATCTAGAAAAAAACTTAATTATAATAAAATACCAAAAAACCTTCATTGGGATAGATGCATAGATAAGTAAATTCAAATCTCACAAAATAGTTTTTGCATGAATTAAGCACAACAAAGATTATCCATTTAAGTTTTTCACCTAGCTTGCTAGCTAATTCATCATAATTCACTAGTAATTCTCCTAGCTAACTAACTCATCATAAAAGCTAAACTTCATAATAACTAACTCATCATAAAAGCTAAAGTTCATAATTAACTAAATCAAAATGGATCTAGATATAGCTAGTTGAGTGAGTACTAGTTTCCATCATCGGATGATTTGAGGTAAAGGTTTTCACCACCATCACCGCCGCCGCGGCCTTGATCAGATGAAGAACCCATCCCAATCTCACCCTGCTTGCTACCACCTCCCATAAGACTCCTATGCAAACCATCTCCTCCTCCGCCGCCGCGAATGAAGTCAGGAAACCCTCCTACTCCTCCACCAGAGCTACTGCTTCCTCCCACATTCATATTACTACATGCTTCACTTTGCAACATGTGAAGTCCTCCTGAACTTCCACCACCGCCGAGCTGATGCTGTTGAAGTGCCGAGTAAGGCTGTTGCTGCTGCTGCTGCGCATATAGAAGCGAGGAACGCGCAGCCATTAGTTGCTGTTGTGTCATCTGCTGAGCCTGCTGCATGTAGTGCGCTCCTCCTCCTCCTCCTTGTTGTTGACCCTGCATCATTCCACCACCACCAGGATACTGCTGCAATGCAATATCAATCAATGATATATAATGAAACAAACTAATTAACTAATAATATTACAATGTCTGTGTTTTTTATACCTGACCAGGCATGGTTTGTGGTTGAGGTTGTGAATCAGCTATTGCAGCCAAGTACATGAGATTTCTCTGTAGCCTTGCCTGGTTCCTGATATATTATTACACATATCACAAAATAACCTATTAAGTATTGTCATTGACACGACACAGACACTACATTGATATGTCAGATACCAGACACACCTTCAATCTATGTCCTTAATACGAGATGTAAACTTGTTTGGGAGAAATTTTTTTTTTCAAATCCTTTCTCTATATCTAAGAATATAAACATAATTAATGTATATAGTATAGCAACATTAATAGATGGTATTGTATGCATATACTCCGTGGAACAAAACCTTTTTCTGTCTCTTACATACGAGGCATATCACCATCATGCTTAATAGGAAATAATGAAAGAATCTAAATTAGGGTAATTCTTACTCTGCACACTCGCCGAGTTTGCCAGAATTCTGACTCTCCACAATCTTCAAAATCAAGGACTTGTTCTCATCCAAGTACTAGTTGTCGAAAATAAGTGAAATGTTAAAAGAATGACACATTCATATAAATGAACCAAGTAGTAATTGAAGGGTTAATTAGCAACAAAATATAAGTCCTAGTGAAGAAGCATCGAATAGCATCTAGTAGCCACCAACCCAAGTAGTGTTGTTGGTTTAATAATGACAAATAGGGTCATTCAGGTAAGATATACTAGTATGTGAACACAGAGAACACACGTCATATAAAAACTGCAAGACTTTCAGGTAACAGAAGCAAGAGCATTAAATATTATTTGGAGAAAAGAAAGAAAAAATGAGCAATATAGATCGATGAGAATAATAAGAATAGGTAGCATAGCAGAAAGAAAACAAGTAGATAACAAGTGCAGGTGTATAGCAGAAGCTGACAAGTAAAAGTAAAGCAGATAGGTATAGTGTAGTGTAGGTATATATGAACAGAAACATAGAATGAATAATGAATGAAGACCCACAAAAGGGCCCTCAGAAAACAAAAGAACAAGAAGGGAGATTGAAGGAGATGAAGACCTGTTGAATGTGATCAGTGGTGACGTTGTTTGGATAGTAAGCTGCCATCATAGGCTGCATCTGCATCAGGTGCTGCTGCATTTTACCTTACTTCTCAACCAGTAAGCAACTATATAGAAGAATATTGTAGTATAAGATTATTATTATTAATAATAATGTGATGATGGTTCTCTATCTGAGAAGAATAAAAACAAAGGTGAACAAGTTCAGAGCAGAGAGCGCAGAAGGTAGGAAAGAAGGAAACACGAGAGTGCAAGTGTGTGTATGTAAAGAGAAAGAATCAAGAACAAAAGGCTTTTGGGTTCACTTTCTCTTGTTGATATTGAAATGATGCTACCTCACATGAGAAGAAGATATTTGAAAGTGTGACTAGAGAGAGAGAGTGTGTGCATTGGGGTTGGGGCCTTGGCTTGTTTTGACCCTTTCTTCTCACTCACTCACTCTGCAACGCAATGCAACGGAGCCTCTCTTTCTTGAACTGCGTGTCACTTGCTCTCTCTCTCTCAAAACTAGGTCACGTGATTTACAGAGAAACGTCATATTGAAAAGATTTAAGAATAATAATAGTAATAATAAGACACTCTTAACACCCTTTTTAACAATGTTTTTATCCCTAGACAAATTAATACTACAATAAATCACTTACTTACTCATTATTAGAACATACCATCATTCTCCCTAGAATACCCTTTTATTTACTTACTCATTATTAATAGTAATAATAAGACAGTCTTAACACTCTTTTTAACGGATTTGAATCTCTTCTTTTTTATATATCATGTCATTTCTCATGTTTTTAATCTAACGGTTTAAAATTTACAATGAATACATTCCAAAAATAACAAAGACAAATTACTTATCAATTTCTCTCTCATTTTTTTATATTTAATTATTAATTATAAATTCTGAAACGTTAGATTATAAACATGAAAGATGACAGGATATATAAAAAAGGAGAGGATCCAAATCCCTTTTTAACAATGTTTTTATCCGTAGACAAATTAATACTACAATAAATCACTTATTTACTCATTATTAGAACATATCATCGTTCTGCCTAAAATACTTTTTTATTTACTTACTCATTATTAGAACATTCTATCATTCTCCCTAAAATACCATTTTCAATTAAAATTATTTACACTGAATCATGTTCTTTATTGTAATTGATTAATTGCAATTGTATTGTCCAATCAAACTTATGTTTTTTATCGGCTGACCTCCTCAATTCATTTTCCATATGTCTGATATTTAAGATTTGAGAACTTTTTTTACTCTCTTAAACCTTTTCCTCTCTACTTTCTTTACCTATTTTCTCTCTCTTTTTTTAAACTCAAACTCTTATCTCTCTCATTAGTGTTTCAAGTTTGAAGAAGTGCATAATTTCCTTCATCCCGATCCAACTCATTTTCCATTTCATCTGAGGTAAAATTGTCTCTTAACAATTATCATTTTCTTTATTCAGTGTTTATGTTCATTTCTCATAACTTTGAAATCGTGTTGAGATTTATAATATCTCTTTTGTTATGCTTTCTTTGTTTATCACTCATGTTCATTTTTCATGGATGTTCTTAAAATTGTTACAAACTCTTTGGTTGTGTGGATTCGAATTTGTTTTTTGATTTTGGTTATTTTATCATGTTTTGACGGTAGTGTATTATAGATAAAGATGAGATTCTTAGTAGTGACAGTGAGATGAAGAGGAAGGGGGGGATAGTGATGGAATGAATAACAACAAGCCTGGTGCTAAAAAGATCGGTTGGTTTTCATCTATGTTTTAGAGGTAATAATATTGTTGAACTGGATTAATTTGCTTTTGTTATTTATTGTTAAGTTTGTTTGTTTCATTGGTTTCATTCAGATTTATTTTATGCAGAAATGCTTAGATTTATGTATTTGTAACTATTTCCATTTTGTATTTAAGCTCTTAATATAACCTCCATAAAAGTATTATACCATTCTGATAAGTGCTAAATTGTACTAATTTTGAGTGTGAATAATTGTCACTTATTGGCTTGATTCGTTGATTTTCTGTTAATAATCCCCCGTTTTTGTGTACTTTTTGTATAGTTTATATATTGTTGTATATATTACGTTTTCATGTACATATCAGTGAGTTCGATATTTTTTCATCTGTTTTTATTGGTAATAATGTATGGTTGAAGTATGGACCCAATTGAGACAAGAGGGATGCTTCAAAATACAGTTTTGACCAACAAAATATTGGCATTCGCGCTTAGCGCAACTTTTAATGCACTGGAGGTGGATGGAAGAAACAAATAAATGTGGTTTTTCTGTCTGCGCTTAGCGGGAGCAGGACCGCGCTTAGCGCGGTTTATGTCAATTTAAGGGTACTTTAAGTGAGATCGTGCTACGTTGTAATAAATACCATTCTTTTTAATTTTACTTTATCTTATTTTTGTAGGTATTTAAGCAAGGATATTTTATCATTATCATATAAAGTATTGAATAAGCTTTCCAACGCTTCCGACCGTACGTCAATCGGAGTTACGGTTTTGAAAATTATGAAGAAAACAAAAAACTTGATTTTGTTGATGACGCTAAGCGCCATCATAGGGCGCTTAGCGCGGTTCACGCTATTTCATCCCCTATTTAAGTTACTTTTTAGAATTGTTAGGTTATATTGTTGGGAACTTTTAACCCCAACTTCATCAAACACATTCTTTAGTAGTTTTAGCTCATAAACAACACTTGGAGGATGCATCTTGACGATTCGGAGTCGAATCCACTTCAACCGGAGCTGACAAACCATGAGATTTGTGTTCTTCTTTCTTTCTTTCTATGTATTTTTCGTTTGTTGGGGTTTTGTATGTAAACTTATCTTGATTGTATGTATATTTATGGATCTTTGTATAAAGTCTCTTTTACAACTCTTAATCGATGTGATCTTTGATTTAATCTCTATCATAATAGGTTTGATTCGCTATAGACATATACTTTTCAAACTCGACCTAAGATGAATGTCAATTGGATGTGGAAAGCGGTATAATATTCACATGTTTGTGTTGGATCTTAATGTTCTGTGTTGGATCTTAATGTTCTGTGTTGTTTACTTGCGTGAGACATCACCTTCGAGAGAATGCGGTTGATCTCTCAACGTTCACGTTAAACATTACCTCTTGTTGTGAGCGATGCGTAGGGATTTTGACGAGTGATTTAGGTTCCTTGCATTTGATCCATATATTTTTTAGTACATGATGGATAGAACAAAAAATACAATTTCTAACAAGTTTTCTCATATCTTAAGGATGTATTTATTTTCTTGTTTTATGTTTTTACTTTTACACTTTTATCTCAAACCATTCAAACCCAAGCTTAGAGATGTAGAGACCGTCGAACGACATTCTTTCCCTCGCATCGATCCCTGTGGAAACGATATAAATCTCAGAGGGAATTCTTCCGAAAATAATATTTTTGCTTGCCACTTTACCGCTTCACTGCTCGATCTATCTAAAATTTCAGTTGGATTTGATTCCAGATATTTGACGATCTAGATGCTACTGATGTTGTATTCACAAATGGCGCAGATGTATTAGCAGTTGTAATAAATGTTACTCACCAAGTCGTATTGTCAGGTACCCCTTTTCCAAATTCATATGCACTCGGCTTTTTTATGCTTAAGCAAGCATTTTGTTAAAATGAATAATAATATCTTCGTAAATCTTAAATGGTTATTCAAATGGCAGGTCATCTGGTGCAAGGTCACATCCTAATGTACCTTCCCAATCCTAACCTGTTAAACCGGTTGTCGTTTCTCAACCTACAAATTATCATCCTTATGCTTGATTGTTTTGTAATTCAAACCATGTTTTCTGAAATTTAATATTTTATTTGTATATGTAAATAAGAAATTTGACTTCCCTGTTCTTTAAGCTTCTGCTAAAGAAGGATGGTCATCCATCACCAATACAATGATCCTCCTGCCAAGGCCAAAAATATGTCACAGTTGCTTGATGCCATTGTAACACATGGTCCTCCACCAAATGCAAACATTGACACACCTTTCCAAATGTTGGTTGATTATTTAAAATATTGATAAATTTACTAGTGTCACTCTTATCTAATAAGCTTCCTTTAGTGGAAGTTGTCTTCTTGATGCAGTGTTTCTTTTCTTCCGTTGCTAATGCATTTTCCCCCTTTTATCAAGTGCAGTTTGTAACACCCTTTTCTACCCCACAAAATAAAAGGAAAAATATTCACATTTATCAGAGTAAAATATTAAATTCCTCAAAGGGTGTACATTTCCCAATAAATCAAATATAAGTCATAGCTCTGTAAACAACGGGTTTTCTCAAATGATATCAAAAATTTCATCAATAGGCAGCGGAACTCAAAAAGGCATAATCCAAAGTTTTCCTTACGCCACAAGGAAATCAACATAACAAAAACATCAATAAAATAAGGTTTGACTCAAAGACCTCAACCTGATGTTACACTATCAGAGCATTACCCTCTAAGTTAACCACAATGGTCAACGAACCAAAACTTCAAAAGTCCTCGACGACATCCACGGCTAAACCTGGTCATCTGCATGTTACCCACGTGGAGACAACATTCAAACACGCAGGGTGAGTAAAACGATTCATAATAATCAATGTAGGAAATCAATATATAAAATGGCGTCATTTTCATATTCAACATCATCATCTTCATCAATGGACATCAAAGGTCATAACATCATAAATTACTCAAGATCATCTCATAAATGCAAATGCAATAAGACTCATGCATATGGTATCAATCATCACAGCTCGATGGACATTGGGCCATCAACCCTCCATAGATCCCCATCAATAGGATCAATTCTACTCGAGAACTAGAGCACATCAAAATACCTCACATCCGCACAATGGGACTGAAGCCAAAAAATAAGGTCCTGAACTGAAGTCCGGATGCACATGAATGCATGATGCACACATCAATAATCATCCTCATAATAACATCATAGGTGAATCATCATTCATCATAATCATCATCATCGAAAATCATGTCATCATAGAATCATCAAAACTCATGGAAATATCATCATAGTTCATCAATCATTAAATCATAGGAATCAT